TCAGAATCAACCTGGAGAGTTTATAAACACCAGTGATTTCATTGCTCTGGGATGGGGCCCAGCATCCCCCACCATTCTCCATTAGTGTGGTGGTGGGGCTGAGAATTTTGAGACCTACTGGGCTGTCTAGACTAGAGTATGGAATTGGTGAGGGCAGGGGTCGCCCTTAGAAAGGGAGGCACCTTAGGGTAAGCGTCATGCTGACATTTGGCAGATGTCCTTTCCCCTCCAAATATGAAATGGGGCTGAGTTCTTTAATCTTTTTAAAAGCCTCAAAATCTCCAACCAAAACCAAAACCAAAACCCCCTGGCCTTGAGTCGTTTCCAACTCATAGCAACCCCCAATGGGTTTCCAAGGCTGTGAATCTTTACAGAAGTAGATTGCCTCATCTTCTTCCCTTGAAGCAGCTGGTGGGTTTAAACCGCTGACCTTGTGGTTAACAGCCAAATGCTTTCCTCACTATGCACCAGAACTCCTTCCTCAAATCTCCATCTATGAAATTCTATCTACCTAACAGTTTGAGATTAAATGAGATTATGAATGTGGAGCTTTTGGTGCACACCTGGCACATTAAAGAAGCTCAATTAATGCTTGTAGAATGAATGATGAGCTAGCAGTAAAAGTTAATTGCATTAAACCAATTAAAAAAACAAACCGGTTGCTGGTGAATTGATTCCAACTCACAGTGACTCCGTGTTTTGCAGAGCAGAACTGTGTTCCATAGGGTTTTCAAGGTTACCTTTCAATGGCATATCACCAGGCCTATCTTCTGAGGCACCTTAAACCTCTATGGCACTTTAAACCACCTTAAATCTCTGGGGCAGTTTAAACCACCAAGCTTCTGGTTAGTAGTTGAGCTTTCAACAGTTTGTACAACCCAGGGACTCCATTAAATGTATTGGGAGTTAGAATTTTTGAGTTGTAGTTTATAGGTGGGGAGCTCTGGTAGCATAGTGCCTAAAGCACTTGACTGCTAACCAGAGGCTGGTGGTTCAAACCCACCAGCCACTCCTCAGAAGGAAGATTGGGCAATCTGCTTCCATAGTGATACCGCCTCGGAAACCCAAGGAGGGGTCGCTATGAGTCAGGTCCGACTTGGTGGCACATAACAACCACAACAGCAATAGTTTATGCATCTGATAGAAGAGTTTAATTGTATGACTCTGAGCAACTCTGCTCCCAAGTTTCCCTGAGGTTCTTTCCAACTTCAAAATGTTATTCTTCTCTGATATTACAGACAATAACATTTTGTAACTTTACATTTCCCCACAATTTATAGTTTATCAGTTAAACTGTAGTTAAAAATTGAGATAATCTGAATTGAGTTCAATGTGTTTTTAATTCAAGACTTATCAAATACATAGAACAGCTTTTTGTATCACTTATCTTTACTTGCAAATTGTTTAAATTTTGAATTATTAACTCATCTTCCTAAGACAACTGTAGGTGTTGAGTTGCGTTTTGAGACTTGCTGATAGATGTGTAATAAAAATAATAGCTATTATTATTAAGGAGCTCTGGTGGTGCAGGGCTTAAGGCATTTGTCTGCTAATTAAAAGGTCAGTGGTTCAAACCCACCAGCCAACTGCAGAAGAAACATGGGGTGGTCTGCTTCTGTGAAGACTTAGAGCCTTAGAAACCCAGGAGGTCACTATGAGTTGGAATCAACTTGGTGGCAATAAGCTTGGTGTTTTTTTTTTTTTGGTTTATTATTAATGGTTATCATTACTAAGTGCTTTGCAAATATTAACTCATTTCATCCTTGAAACAATCGTATGAGATATAATTGATTTGATTCAGTTCTCCTTTGGGAACCTGAATTGATGTGATGGTTATGTTTGTGTGTCAACTTGGCTAGGCCTGGTTGAGTGGGTGGGCAGCTGGTGGTAGTTATTCCCCATGATGAGACTGGTAATCAACTCCATGATGGAATCTATTGTGAGCAGCTGAGTAGCTGCCCTTGGTTATGTGGTCTGCTTCCTGTATATAAGGAGAAGCTTTGAGAATGGTCTCTAGCCTATGGCACGCTTGGACTCTGCATTTAGCTGTGTCTTTGTTGAGCAGCCTGCTATGCTCTGCTGACCTTGGGACTTACCATGGACTTAAGTTAATGGCTTGCCGCATGGTTTGGTAACATTGGGACTGTGCCTTTTTACCTGTCAACCTTGGGGCTTCTCAGCCTCAGCAACCAGCAGCTGTCTGAGTGAAGAAATGCCTCTAACTCCAGTGGGCCAGGAGCAGGAGGCAGAGCTGAACCCCAAGGTTGAAGGGCTTTCACCCAGCCCCTAGAGCCTGGCACTTTTTCTTTTCTCTTTGGTTCCTTGTTGGTTAGAACTTTTTCTTTCTTTCTTTTTATTGTGATTTGGGTAAAAATTTACAGAGCAAATTCACTTTCCATACAGCAGTTCACATATACTTTGTCTCATGACATTGACCACAATTTACCACAATGCAACAGCTCCCCTCTCACTTCCTCCCTATAGTTACCTCTTCCCTGTGTCCATCCCTTCATGCACTCCTGCCCCCTGAGCTGTCTCCCTGTGCATAAGCAGCCCTTTTTTCTCCCATGATTGTTCTCTCCAAGGAGTGTATCTACCTCAGGAAAATGTTCAACTCATATGCCTGTCTATTGTTGGCTGGATGCCACAGGCCTGGGTTCAATTCCAGACCTGAAGGGCAGCTAGGGGCCATAGTCTCAGTGGTTCCACCAGAGCCTGGCACTTTGAACTTGGACTTAAAACCTCCAAATTGCAAGAATAAACTTCTGTTTGTTAAGGCCATCCCATTTGTGGTATGTTTCTTGTCAGAGAGGCACTAGGTAACCGGAACAATTGAGAAACCTTCCCAGACTCCCCATGTCAGCTGAGAACCTTCTCTAACCTTCTTAGCAGTGTCTGACCACACTAGCTGTGAGGCCATGTGAAAGCTGCTGGTCTCCTCACACCCAGAAGGAGATTTCCCAATCCTTCAAACAGGCTGCTCTTGAGCATTCAGATCCTGTCCATTTCTGTCTAGCCTGCAGTTTCTTTGCAAGAGCCCAGAGCTGCAGGAATGCGGGGCACAGGCAGCCTCAGTGTTGATTTACCGGGGGCACCAGTAGACTAGGAAACGGCTCTGAATGCGGCTTCAGCATCTGCAGCCCCAGGAGACAGATTCCAACTTCATGGCGCTCCATGCTATGGGAACTAGCAGTGGGGTTTGAACCCTGGAAGGCAGGGGTCCCAACCTTCTCCAGAGATGAGCACTGGATTGACAGGATTGATGACTTGGAACCACTGCCATATGCAAGCCCCCATCATGCCTCCTGGTTGCATCATTTGCATATCTCTGCATACTTGATTAATCTGACAGGGATCTCCTTTTAGGCAAAACTGTCATTTTTTTTTTTTTTTTTTGCTTTTGCTTTTGTTTTCTTCCCTCCAAGTACCATCCCCACAAACATCCATGTATTCATCCATTTTCTAAAACACGCCTGGTACTTTTAAAACTCCGGGTGAATAGCACTCTTCTTAAATTAATGCTTATTTATGGAGTGCCTACTCTAGTGCAAGAGGAGGGGAGATGGGAAGATAAAAACTGCATGAACCTTATCCTCAAGCGGCTCAAAGTCCCATTGGGGTATCTGGGCAGGTGACTCAATAGGCTATTTCAAGCAGCAATTCTGGGTTGAGTTAAAGCATTGCTTTTCAACACTTTTAGTTCTAGGACCCCTTTACATTCTTAATTTTTTTTTTTTTTTTTTGAGGATACCAAAAAAGCCTTTTTTTTTTTTAATGTACAGTTTATCTACTGATACATATTGTGTTAAAAATTAAAAGACATTTTTAAAACACAAGAATACACAAGCACACAATCCTTTCATTACCTACCAGAGCAATGACATCACTATACATCATGCAGCTTCTGGAACATTCTACTATACATTCAAGAGAGAATGAGAGTGAGAAAACAAATAGCATCTTAAAATTATGGATGAGTTCGATTATGTAGTCTTCCTGAACAAGTTTAGGGGACCCACAAGAGTCCTTGGCCCACACTTGGAGCACAATTGGGCTAAAGTGTATAGGTCTCTTTCAGCACTGAGAATTTGAAGGTTTAGCAGAGGGCCCGACTATAAGTCTGTTGGACAGAAGGTAGAATACTTTGATGAATGACAAGAAAAGTTCATTTTAAAAAATTCTTGGTAAATAATCACAATAATGGACAATACTGAGGTACTCAGGGAACAGTTTTCTCTGTGGAAGATCTTGACGGCCTTAATAATGTTCAGTAATCCTGAGCATGTCTACCCCAGGCCAAGCAATCAAGGAATCTGCCTCCTCACAATGGGGAGCCCAGGGTCCATGGGACTCAGCCACTTGGCAGGGAGTGCATGAAGAGGGAGTAGCAGAGGAAACCAAAGAGCAAAGGCCAATAGGCCCAAGGAGGGGCTGGAAGCAGCTGTCTGGTTACCCCACTTCCCCCAACTCAGGCAGCACAGCAGAACCCCTGGGAGATCAAAGAGCAAAAATGCTGTTCCACCAGCCTGGGAAGAGGAGCTGGAAAGACACTCAGAGTGCAAAGGGTAGCCCTGATGGAGATGGCTGTGGTATACACAATGGCTTAGCCAGGAGGGAAGTGAGAGAGTAAATCGAGGCATAAAGATGACAGTCAAGAATACCCCGTGGAATGCAATTCTTCTCTGACACACATGACGTCACCATGGGTTGGAATCTACTCAATGGAAATGGGTGTTATGTTTTTTTTTTTTACCACATGCCAGGTGGGAGCCTGGTAATGAACAAGACAGGCAGAAATCTCTGCTTCTTGACATCAAAGTGTTATTCCAGAGAGGGGCAGGACTTCCAATAAAGCAACAAAGAAAATGTCAGGGGTTGTAAAAGACATTGAACACAGAAAGTACAAAGTCCACCTGGTTTGAAAGAATATTGGCAATTGGGAATGATGTTCTACTCTGCTCAATTCTGATGTCTTGCTTGTGACCATGCTTTACTCTCAGGTGTACGAACTGAATGGGAAGACCCATGACAAAGAGTGGTGTGTGAAAACGTACAAGGAAGTGGCTGACCAGTTTGCAAAGGATCATCCTGAGTTTATTGGACTCAAAATCATTTATTCAGATCACAGGTGAGATTGTGGTGGCTGAAGCTACAAAAGTTGGGAGTATGGGATGCAGGCAGATGCCAGGCTGGGAAGGGAGAGGAGAGGAGATTGCAGGGCAATCTGGAGGCTGGAAGGCTGGGAGTCAGACAGCTCGATGCCAGGCAAACATGGGCTTGGCATGTGCGTTTGTGTGTGAGCCCAGCAAGTGGAGATATGTCCCTGACATCACCTTTAGTTCAGGTTTCCACAATCAAATGGAAACAAAGAACTGTGGCAATATCCCAGATAATTCTAGGCTGTGACCCCACATGGGCCTGGATGACGCACTTGTGGGTACATTGTTTTTGCCTGTATGTTTGGATAATTGGCCCCTTTCTTTGTTTCAATTTGCCACTGGGTTCTGCCAAATGTCACCATGTGCTGTGTGTGGCTGTTGGCAAGGCCCTGATAGATGAGGGGACCCAGAGGTACAACTCTGGCTCAGCCTCATGTGATGAGACCCCACAGTGGCAATATGTGTGTGGTCTGGGGGTGTGAAGAACGGACTGACCCCCTTCTCGAGGCAAATGCAGAAAGCTTTACAGACTTAATTTCCCTTCTTACCAAAAGAAGAGCTTGCTCATCTCAAAGAGTAGCCAGCCTTAGCCTATGATCTGTACACGTCCGGAGATACAGAGGTAGCAGCCAAATGGAGTCACTCCAGTCAGGGCAGGAGAGGGGCACAGTGGGATTTTGCAGTGCTTCCATTCACTAGGTCCTCTCATGCAGCTGGGAGTCCCTGGGTGCTGAAAACTTTTAAGCACTTGACTAACCAAAAGATTGGCAGTTCACACCCACCTGAGGTACCTCGGAAGAGTAGGCCTGGTGATCTGCTTATAAAAGTTCACTGCATTGAAAAACCTATGGAGCATAGTACTCTGCACACATGGGATCCCTATTAGTCAGAACTGAATGGAGAGCAACTGTTTTTTTTGGTTTTGTTTTCCCATAGGGCTGGCTCTGCAGTAATTAGACTTCCCAGCAACCTCCTGTCCTGGCTCTCCCAAAATCCCCTCCCCTCCTTGTACAGACCTGGGGCTCTGCAAGAATAGGACCCTACATTGGTGTCCTCACTAGCTCAGGACAGAGCATGCAGGATGGGGCTCAACTAGTTCTATTCAAAGGCTCCCTGGTGCCAACTGACCCTTCCCAGGGCCAGGGGTGTGTGAGGGTATGTGAGCTCTGGGAATAAATGACTCCCATGTTCCCTTAGGGCTCTGGAGGAGAGGGGGTGGGTGGGGGCTGGTCAGCAGGACAAACTTAATCCCCAGGGAATTGAGCAGAGATTTTTGTCCTATCATGGAGTTGTGCCAAACCTTTGTTGTTTGGTATGTTTGCTGTTATACTGCTAGACTCATCCCTATCCTGGACTTGAAGGGAGAGGTGTATCAAAGGGAGGTTAAACAGCTTAGTTATGTGGTTCTGAAGGGCTCAGGGCTCTGGAACTAGCGCTTAACCCAGGTATTGCTAATTGAACCAGCCAAACAGGATATATGGTTAATGGGTCCCACTGATCCATTAGGAAATTGAGTGACCAGTAGCATTTTCTAAGTGTCCAGTGAACAGGGTCCACATCCAGGACCCAAGAACCCTTGGTGAGGTGGGCAAGTTTTGTACAAGGCCATTTTGCTTCTTCCAAATGTAGACAAATTGTCCCCAGGAAACCCCCTTACCCTGCTTGCTTCTGAGAGATGATGGGATGGGTCCCTCTGGAGCCAGCTGAGATCCTCAATAGGCATGTATTTGGGAGAAATATCTCATGGATGGAGCCATTTAAAGGGAGTACCTTAGCCTGGTGGGAATGAGGCCATATGGGCAGTTGTGTGAGGGTTTGGGGAATGGTTGCTGTCCCCTTGGATTGCATGAGACCAGCCCCAGGAGGGAACCACTCCATAACTCAGGTAACCCGAATCATGCTGTCTCTGTGCTTCTCTCTCTCAGATCCAAGGATGCATCTTTCATCAAAAAATCTGTCAGAACAGCCATGGCACTTCGAAACCGTTTTCCCAAGACAGTGGCAGGATTTGACTTGGTAAAACCTGCGCTCATTGGCTCCTGATATATATAGAAAGGGCCAGGCAGGCAGCAATTCATGAAGGGACCATGTGTGGCACTGCACACACAGAAACCCTCTGGAGAGGCTCAGGACTGACCACAGGCCGGTCAGCATCCAGCACTGACCATCTCTAAGAGGCTGCAGAGGGTGGCAGCCATGGAAGGAGGGAGGGCAGAAAGAGCTGGGTGGCTGGAAAGGGAAATTCCAGAATAGGGAAGGAATTCAGGGAGTCTGAACAATAATTAAAGACTCGTTCCCATTCCTCTGCCTTCAGATCCCTTATCCAGCCCAACTTGCCCACCTACCTCTGACTCATAAAATCACACCTCCCTTCCCTCTATAACTCTCCATCCCCCACTTCCATAGCACACAGAGGTTGACTGGTCTCAAACTGAGATGAGACTAAAGAAAACCAAACAAACCCACTGCCATCAAGTCGATTCTGACTCATAGTAACCCCCATTGGTTTTCCAAGGCAGTAAATCTTTACAGAATAGATTGCCCCATCTTCCTTCCACAGAGCGGCTGGGGGATTTGAACTGCTAACCTTCTGATTAGCAGCAGTCAAATGCCTTAGGCACTGTGCCACCAGAGCAAATTGTCAGGGATGGGAAATTTGTCTCCTCCCTCTTCTTTGTCTCATTTCCTTTCCACTTTTAATTTTTTCCCCTTATTGTGGTAAAATATATACACCATAACATTGGCCATTTTAACCATTTTTTAGTGGACAATTCAGTGATATTAATTACATTCACAATGTTGTGCAACCATCACTACCACCTATTTCCAAAACTTTTTCATCACCCCAAACAGAAACTCATTGAGCAATAACTCCTCCCACTTACTTTTGAAGCTGCACACCCCCCACAGTCAGGCCAGGCTCTCCAGCTGACAACTCCTTACTCTCATTAATCTAATTAAGGAATCTAAATTAATTTTGACTCTTTAAAATGCAGTCCTGACTCCCTTTTAAATAATCTGTACATTTTAGCTGAGACTATACTTACAGTTTTTTACCTTCCCACCAACCAGAGCCCAAAGGAGTAGATTTCATGGAATCATTTTATTTTGGGCTCAGGCTGTCCTCCTGGGATGCTTGTGAAGTGCTCCAAGAATCTGTACTTGTGACCTCTCGAAAAAAAGGGGCAGAAGGTCCTCCCCTGCCTCTGTGTGCAGTGTTGATGAAGGCTTGAGCGGAGGGTGGAATTTAGAGGAAGAGCGCCTAGTGCAGGGCTTCTGAGACAGCCCGTTCATCTAATGGACAAGGGCTCATGGGACATTGGGGTTGGAGGGCAATAGGAATTTGTTCAAAGCGGTCCACTTGCAAGCTCTAAGTTCCTTTCAAGACTACATTCTGTTCTACTCCACTGAATATTCATGTTTATTATAAAAATGTTTCATTGCCCCCCACATCTTTCTTCCCCCACCAATTAAAACTGGCATTCTGTAAGAGGCATGCTTTTTTATCCTCAAGTACCCCTTATTCCTAGCACACAGCTACAGAGCCCTGGGGTACATGTGGCTTAGTTTAAAAAGCAGGACTTGTTCTAGTCACTCTTCATGTTACAATCAAGCAACTGAGTTGCAGAGAGGGAAATGGACATGTGCAGGGACCCACAGGTGATGGAGGCCCACGCTGCACCTGGGTCCTCCTGGTCTGGGGTATGCATGTTCTCTCTCTCTCTCTGCCTGTCTCATTGTCTCTGTCTCTTTTTCTCTCTGTGGGTCTCTCTCGTCTTCTCTTTCTCCCTCTGTCTCTCTTTCTCTCTCCTGTCGGTCTCTCTCCCTCTATCTATCCCCTCCCCCAAGGAGCTCAGGGCTGCAGCAGAGGTGATATAAGAAGACAAGGTAGAAAGGGCTGAGAACATAGAAGGTACAGCCTCTGAAGAAGGAAGATAATATTTTGGAGCAATACTACAATTTCTTTTCTTTCCCAACTAACTCTGCTACTGGTCATTACTAACAGACTATGTGACCAAAGGCCCCAAGCTGTAGTGGCAGGGTACAAAAGAGAGTGCTTACAGACAGCAGGGTGTACCTCAGCAAAGGGAAGCATGTATCAAGCACGTGCCTCCATGTCTCCTCCTCTCTGTCCTGCATGCAGGTGGGGCGTGAGGATACTGGCCACACCTTGTACGACTACAAAGATGCTTTGCTGATTCCATCCTTGGAATATGTTAATCTACCGTACTTTTTACATGCTGGAGAGACAGGTAAGCCGATTGCACAAGATATAAGCCGGGGGTGGAAGAGGTGGTGGGCAGGAGAATTCCTCACCAGAACCCGAGAGTACAGGCAGGATACTAGGGCAGTGGTACCAATACCACATTGTGTTAGTCTATAGTTGCTTTATTTACCATTTCTCACAAAATCAGCTCCAACTTATGGCTATCCCATGTGTCTCAGAGTAGAATCGTGTTCCATAGAGTTTTCAATAGCTGATTTTTTGAAAGTAGATTGCCAGGCGTTTCTTCTAAGGTACCTCTGCATGGACTCAAACCTCCAATTTTCTGGTTAGCAGTCAAATGTGTTACCCATTGCACCATACAGGAACTCTATAGTTGTTTTATTGCCCTTTCATATCTATTGAGAGGAACCCTGGTGGTGCAGTGATTAAGAGCTTAGCTGCTAACCTAAAGATCCTCAGTTCAAACCCACCAGCCACTCTGCAGGAGAAAGATGTGACAATCTGCTTCCACAAAGATCTACAGCCTTGGAAACTCCATAAGGCAATTATACGCTGTCTTATAGGGTAGCTATGAGCCAGAATTGACTCGATGGCAGTGGGTTTCGTATCAATTATTTTGTTTATACCTAAAGGCAGTTTCACGGAGAAGGAATAACTATCATGATAACAGCTACTACTTTTTAAATATCTTTTGTGTATCAGTCACTTAACATACATTATTTTTTGCTCTTACCCCAGTCCTCATTTTAAAGATGAAGAGCCCAAGGCTTCAAACATAGAGTTATTGGTTCAATGTTAAATTGCTAGTAAATAGTGGAGTCTCAGTTTGAACCCTTTCTCATGACCTTCATTTCACAATGAGTGAATTGAGCTTCAGAGGTTAACTGGCATGTCCAAAGTTACAGTGGTAAGTGGCAGAGGAGGGACTGGAACTAGCCTGCTCTGTCATCTTAGGGGGCTCTGTCCACCACGCTTCAGTGCTGAGAAAACCCTTCTTTGCTGCAGCAGCCCTGCTGCTATTCTTTCTGAAATACCATTAGCCTAGACACTTCTTTGTTTCCCAAAGCTCATTCTGTGGCCTTAGTCTACCATAATCTAGGCCCCACCAATGTGTAAAACCTATGCAAAGAGAACACCAGATTGTGGTTGGACTTTCCGTGAGAAATCAAGATTTTTTGGGGAGGGTTTTCAAGTAGAGATCTAGACTAGAAAAGAGGCCCCTGACACATTCCCACTGGCATCCCTCAGAAAGCCTATGGCACCTGTCACTCTCAGAAGACCAAGGCAAGAAGGAGGGGGCTTGTATTTCACAACCTGGCTTAAACCTGTATCAGGCCATCTCTCAGGGAAAGGGTCCATGTGCATTAATCCCTTTTCCTGACATTTTGAGTCAATTTAGATCCAATTTAGATCAAAGTCTGCTCCAGGAGCTTTAAAGAATTGTATGTGGGAGATGGGGGTGGGGTGAGTTTAACCTTAAAGAGCTTGTGGTCAATTTGGAAAGATCATACTTACCTGTGTGAAATCATTAAACATTGTATGAAACCTAATCAGATTCTAAGATATATGGCCCTAGGAGAAGATTTTGCCTGGGCTGGGGTATTTAATACCCAAGAGAAATGTCCTTATTTAAAAAAAAAAAGGAAAAGATGAAATCTTCAAAAAGAAAGTACTAGATTAAGAAAACAGTAAATCTATCTAATATACTTACCCTAACCAGATGTTCTGGTTACCTAGTGCCACGCTGACAAGAATATACCACAAATGGGATGGCTTGAACAAAGAGGAGTTTATTCTCTTACAGTTTGGGGGCTTTAAGTCTGAGTTCAAAGTGCCCAGGCTTGAGAGGCTGTGTGAAAGCCCCTTGACCTTGGGCTTCAGCTCTGCCTCTTGTTCCCAGCCCACTGAAGCTAGAGGCATCTCTTCACTCAACCAGCTACTGACTGCTGAGGCTAACAAGCCCAACATCGACAGATAAATAGCACAATCCTGAAAATCCCAAACCACACGGCAGGCCATTAATTCAAGTCCATTGTAAGCCCCAAGGTCAGCAGAGCATGGCAGGCTGCTGAACAATGGCACAGCTACATGCAGGGTCCAAGCGTGCCATAGGCTAGAGACCATTCCCCAAGGCTTCTGCTTATATACAGGAAGCAGACCACATCCATAAGGCAGCTATTCAGCTGCTCACAGTAGATTCCACCATAAAGTTGATTACCAGTCTCATCCTGGGGAATACTACATCCGGCTGCCCAGCCACTCAATCAGGCCCAGCCAAGTTGACATACAAACTTAACCACCACACAAGCAATGGGAATTTTTGAGTTTTGCTTCTAACAGAATAACAGAATTTTCATATTTTACATGAAGCTCAGTTAGGATGCTTGTGGCTGCAAGGAATGGAGTATATACATACATAGGTTTACAATAAGGTTATGTAATATCTCACATAATAAGTATCTCTCTCCTCATTGAGTTGATGATTATACCCCACTTGATCACAAGATTGTGAAACCACCTTCAGGCATGACCACATCCAGTGAAACGAAAGAGGAGACCTTTCCCCTGGTGCATGTCTTTTTATTAGAGAGGAAGTTCCAGAAGCTTCCCTAGCAGAAAACCTCAGAGGTCAGCTTTAGGGCTGCCTTAGCTGCAAGGGAAGCGAGAAAGTCAGGATTTTTACCCTTGAAAGAGGGCTCTGTCAGCAAGAAAGTTGAGTTGGGGATGGCTGGTGAGGAGGCAGCCAATAGCGTCTGCCACAGCTTAATTAGTTAATGGTGGCCACTGTGATCTTATAATTAGCCATGTCCCAAGGGCACTATTAAATATATAAAGTCAATACAGATAATGATATGGACATTATGTATAAGGGAATCTGCAACCCTTTGTTGCAAAATCTGTAAGCATAAAATTCCCAGGAAACTGCTATAGAAACCAACAGAAAGGGGAAGAAAATAAGGACTTGAAATCCAGTTTTGAAACTGGGGTCAGAGAGACCAAGGTGAGATGCTCAGTTTTGGTACTTGCTAATGGAATGTTCACAGTATATTTGCAAAACCTATTGAAGTTACAATTTCCTCATTTGTTACAAAAAGAAAAGAGGGGGTACAGATACATGGTGGTACAGTGGGTCAGGCATTTGGCTGCTAATGAGAAGATTGGTGCTTCAAACCCACCAGCTACTCCATGGGAAGAAGATGAGGCAATCTACTTCTGTAAAGATTTGTTGTTGTTGTTGTTATGTGCCGTCGAGTCAGCCCCGACTCATAGAGACCCCTCCTTGGGTTTCCGAGGCACTATCACTACGGAAGTAGGATTGCCCAACCTTCCTTCCGAGGAGTGGCTGGTGGCTTTGAACCGCCAGCCTTCTGGTTAGCAGTCAAGTGCTTTAGCCACTATGCTACCATAGATTTACAGCCTTGGAAACCCTATGGGAATTTCTATGAGTCAGAAGCAACTCACTGGCAGTGGGTTGGTATATATATAAAACCAAACCAAACTCACTGCCGTCTAATTGAATTTGACTCATAGTGACCCCCTCATTGGATTTCCAAGGCAGTATCTCTATGGAAGTAGATTACCCAGTCTTCCTTCTGAGGAGTGGCTGGTGGGTTTAAACTGCTAGCCTTATGGTTAACAGTCAAATGCCTTAGGCACTATGCCACCAGAGCTCCCGTGTGTGTGTATATATATATGAAGTTTATTTCTCTTCATCTGGAATCTGTGTGTGATGATAGTCTGTGGATCATCCATCCCTATTGAACACTATCTCTTCATCTCCAGACTGGAAAGGTACTTCCATAGACAATAATCTTCTGGATGCCCTGATAATGAACTCCACCAGGATCGGACATGGTTTTGCTTTGAACAAACACCCAGCCATCATGGAAGATTTACGGAAAAAGGACATCCCTATAGAAGTTTGTCCCATTTCCAACCAGGTGTGTATTAGATCCATGGTTGTAATCCAATACAACCTTGGCCCCAGCCTCAACTTCTACCCTATTTCCCAAGCTTTCTCCTGTATAATTTTTTCTCTCCATAACACTTTTTTTTATATATTTCTCAACTTTCCCATTCTCATTAGTAAAGATTTTTAGGAATGGCCTTTTTTCTAAAACACTAAGAATAATGAGGCAGCAATGAGAGTCTCCAACAGGGTGGAATTTGGGGCAAAGCTGTGAGCAAAGCTGAAGGGAGATAGGCAGAGGCCAGTGAAGTGGAAAGGAAAGGGCAACAGGCTATTGCTGCTTCTAGCAGTTTCCTGGATCCTTTGAGCACCTGTCTATCTTGCTGTTCTGAGCAGGACCAAAAGAGAGTCAGACCACAAGTTTGTGGTGATAATGACACTTGAAAAAAGTCAGAAAGAGCTTGAGGACTGGACCTATTCCTGGTGTCAGAAGTCATTCCAATATTCAGACTGATCATGGGAATAAGAAAGGAGCTGATTATGCTCAGGGTCTCACTCATCTCACTTGTGATGATTCTTTGTATGGATCCAAGTTCATCTTTTTCCCTTGACTTTTCTTGGACAGGTTCTGAAGCTGGTGTCTGACCTGAGAAACCACCCTGCAGTTTCTCTCATGGCAATCGGGCAACCCATGGTGATCAGTTCTGATGATCCAGGCTTCTTTGGTGCCAAAGGCTTGACCTATGATTTTTATGAGGGCTTTATGGGCTTAGGGGGAATGGATGCTGACCTGAGGACACTCAAACAGCTGGCCTTTAATTCTATCAAGTGAGTATCCTTGCACACTTCTCATAGTCCCATCCCCTCTTCTACTCCTTCATCCTACTGTGGAGCAACTTGTGTTTATCTCTTCCAGAAGTTTGGGGTGGAAGCCTGGATGGTCTCTGTGGGTTTTCCCTGAATCATCTCTGTTCTGCTCCAGTTCCTGGAGTGGGGAGAAATGTGCTCTGTGTGCATCTGAGATCCCTTCACACTCCTTATCCCATTCCTTGAAACTTCCCCTGGGGCTGATCTGGATTCTTCTTCTACTGCAGGTACAGCGCCATGATGCCTGCTGAGAAAGAGGCTGCCATGAAGACCTGGGAGAAGATATGGGATAAGTTTATAGTTGACCAGGCCAGGAAGTGAGGCGAAGGCAGCTATTCCTCCGTTATTCTCCTGCTTCCCTTCACAGCCAAGCTCAAAAAGAGTTACCCCGCACCAGCTGTCTTCACTTTTTGTTAATCATCCTCAAATTCACCTCCATTACTTTATCAAGAATGACCTCGTGAAGGTCATCGATGGCCTCTGTATTTCTTGACTCTCAGAAATACTTGACCAGTTGACCAAACATCTCTTTCTGAAATATCCTTACCTCTCAACCTAAGTGACATTATCCATGTTGGTTTTCTCCTCTCTCTCTTTGGCCATTGTTTCTGGGTTCTGTTCCTCAGATCCTCCTTCTCAATCTGATCTCTGTGTTGGATTTCCAGAGGGCTTAATCTGGGCTCTCTTCTCTTATTTCCTTCTTTGCTCTTCTCTTCTCACTATATACTGGGTAGTCTCACCCATTCTCCTGTTTTCAAATACTAACTATTTACTGATGATTTCCAAATTTATTTATCCATTTGGATGGCTCATGGAAAAATCAGATACCTACTATAAGCAATTCCAAATTCTGGCTCTCTTTACGTCAAAACTGCTCATTTCTTGGTCTTTCCCATCTTGGTAAGTGACACCTCTATGTATTTCAACCAGTTGGCCAAAACCAAAATTTTCAGAGAAATACTTGACACTAATCTTTCTCTTGGTCCTTACATTCAGTGCATCATCAAGTCCAATTAGACACATTACCTTCAGAATGTATCTTAAATCCATCTACTTCTCTCTACCTCTACTGCCGTTAACTGAGTCCAAACAATTATCATTTCTTGCCTGAGTAATAGCAATGGCTTACTAATTGATCTCCCTTTTATTCTCTTTGCCCTTCCAATTCATTTTTTGCAGAGCAGAGTGGCTTTTAAAAAATTGAGATAAAGTTCATATAACCTATAAATAACCATTTTGAAGCACACAATTCAGTGTACTATCAC